AGGCACTGTCTGAGCATCCAGGGATGGGGTTAAGAAAGCCAAAGCCCATCGAGTTGAATCCGGTGAGGGACTTGAACAGCAACAAGAAGGGCTTCTACAGGTGGATCTGCAGTGAAAGGAAGAGTAGAGAAAATGTGGGCCCATTACTGAATGGGGCAGGAGCCCTAGTAGCAAAGGACATGAAAAAGGCTGAGGTACCGACTGCCACTTTCACCTTGGTCTTTACAAAACCAGCCCTCAGGAATCCAAGGCCCCTGAGACCTGTGGGAAAGTCTGGAACAAGGAAGACTTAACCTTTGATGGGGGAGGATCAGGCTAGGGAACACTTAAAGAAATTGAATGTACACAAGTTCATGGGACCTGATGCACCGGTGAGTGCTGAAGGAGCTGGCTGATGTCATGGTGACACCATTCTTGATTTTCTTGAATGGTCATGGCATTTAGGAGAGGGGCCTGAGGACTGGAAGAGAGCAAATGTCACTCCTATCTTCAAGAAGGGCAAGAAGGAGGACCCAGGGAGCTACAAACTGGTCAGCTTCACCTCAATCCCTGGAAAGTAGTGGAGCAGTAATCCTGGAAACCCTTTCCAAACATATTATGGACAAGAAGGTGACTGGAAATAGTCTGGATTTATGAAGGGGAAATCATTCTTGATCAACCTGATAGCCTTCAATGATGAGATGACAGGCTCAGTGGATGAGGGGAAAGCAGTGGATGTTGTTTTCTTGACTGTAGCAAGGCTTTTGACGCTGTCTCGTGTAACATCCTCATTGACAAACTGAGGAAGTATGGGCTAGATAAGGGGTCACTGCGGTGGATTGAAAGTTGGCTGAACTGCTGCCTTAGGAGGTTGTAATCAGCAGCACAAAGTCCAGCTGGGGGCCAGTCACTGGTGGTGTCCCCCAAGGGCTGAAACTGTTTAACATCTTCATTAATGACCTGCATGAAGGGACCAAGTCTGCAGATAACACAAAACTAGGAGGAGTGACTGTTGCATTAGATGTTTGTGCTACTCTTCAGAGGGACTTTAATGGGCTGCAGAAATGGGCAGGAAGGAACTTCATGAAGTTCAACAACGGGAAGGGTCGAGTCCTTCATCTGGAGAGACGTTAACCCGAACCACCTGGACAGGCTGGGGGCCAACCAGCTGTAAAGCAGCTCTGCAGAGGAGGATATGGGGGGTGCTGGTGGACAGCGAGTTGACCATGAGCCAGCAAAGGTGGCTATCAGCCTCCTGGGCTGCGCTAGGAAAAGCATTGCCAGCAAGTGGAGAGAGGTGATCCTTCCCCACTACTCAGCCCTGGAGAGAGACACCTGAAGTGCTGGATCCATTTCTGGGCTTCCCAGTGCAAGAGAGATGTGGACACCCTGGAGCAAGTCCACTGAAAGGCCATGAAGATGAGTGATTAAGGTGCTGGAGCATCTCTCACAAGACACAAGGCTGAGAGAGCTGGGACTGTTCAGTCTGGAGAAGAGAAAGCTCAGGGGAATCTTACCAATGTGTATAAATACCTGATGCATGGGATTGAAGAAGATAGAGCCAGACTCTTCTCCATGCTTAATTTAAAATTACTTTACCAAAGGTACTTCAGCTAGTATTGCTTGAAGTATGGAAGCCTAAGCAATTGCAGAGTGAGCAATGGATCTGAATAACTTGTTAAGAGGATGATTAGTGATTCTTCAATGGGAGAAGCTGGTTAACAAGTGTGTTGCTTGTATAAGCTGTACATAAATCCAGTTCATTGTCTCTTGCTGAGTTACAAGTTGCATTTTGGTTAATTGTTCAGCAGTGATGGTACAAGGGTGTACTTTAGAACAAAAGTTACAAAATCAAACTTATAAGATATTCTTCTCATATAAAATTATATCACCTGCCCTTGACTTTCTAATTTTTTCATTTAATAGTTCTAAACAAAATTTCCTGTCCTGTGTTAGCACTCAAGAAATATTACATTTAATCTTGTTAGTTGAACGTTCAGTCTTCTTGAGTGCTTGTTCAGCTCCATGAAACTCTTTTGTGTAATCCCTCTCTTTTGCTGCCACTTAAACAAAAAATGGATGAAGGGCTAAGTAAGTCAGTAGGCAAAATGGATGAAAATGTACCTTTATAAGTAATTTTTTTTTTTGAAGTGTGCTACATGTTAACCATGTAGCATTCAAAGAAAGGAAAAAAATTGAGCCCAAGCGTCTTAGATTTAGCACCAGGAAGCCTGACTAAAAGTTTTTTTTCTTTTTTTTTTTTCTCCTCACTGTCTTAAATATCGCTTTAACTTAACAACACACCTTTCTGCGTCTTGTATATTAAACTTCCAACTGGTATCTCAAGCTTGAACTAATAGCTAGCCTAAACTACTAGAATACACTGGAAGGAAAAAATTACCTCCACAATGAATCAGGTTTTAGGGCTTCCTAGGAAACACCTACTGTTTAATGTTCACATGATTTTAATTGGTTTAGGATGGCCTATGTTCAGTGCAGTTCACTTACTTGTAAAATGATAATTCTAACTAATTTTTAAATAAAATAGACTTAAGATTCTTAGCTATCGATCAGCCCCAAGTCAGTGATGGCAAAGAAAACCAACAGCTTCAAACAGAATTTGTAGCATGTTTGAGTCAAATCTCACAAATGATAAAACTTGATTTTTATATAGAGAAGAACTCGTAGATTGTCTCAGTGTACTTTCCCATTCATAACATGAAGTTCTCTTCCGGTATAACTGAATTTGAGCATGGCTTGATTTGTAGGAGATTTATTTTGGTGTTTTCTTCCATGTGGCCTGAGCTGGTATAGTAAAGAATAAGGAGGATTCTCCTGCAGTTTTTTTACCTGCCTTGGACTAGGAATGAACTGTGTTCGCTGCTGCAAATGCAATGATCTGATTTCAGAGCACAACTGGATTTTTAGAGCCTTGTCTCATCCTTTTTTCTGCCAATGATGATTGCTGACGAGGCCTGTTTCCTTAGCCACTGCTGAAGCAGGAGAATTTGCTGGCCTGAGTATGGTTTTCCCTGCTCTCATGAAATAACTTGCTTCAGTTAAGAGTGTTGGTAATATGGGGGAGAGAGATAGAGGGAGGGGAAGCCTCCTCTGTGAATTAGTAATCAGCAACAGCTGAATTTGGAGGGTTGCACTGCATTGCAGAGAGCATAGTCTGTTTTATGGGACAGCAATTCAGAGCTGTGGTTGCACTTGTCACCTTACCATCTGGAACAGTGTTTTCTAAAAAAAGAACATTAAATTGTTGACAGTATCTCTTATTTACCTTTCATTACATAACAGCTGAGCTTTGCAAGCTCCTTCCCCCCCACCCCACCCATTTTTGTCCCCCTGCAAGCTGTAGAGCCTCTGTTGTGTCTATGGTGGTGCTTAGTAAGAAAGTTAATTGCTGGTGTGCTTATGCCAGCACTAAGCTACTGATTTGCTCTGTGTGTTCTGCCAGTATCTGTTTGAACTACTGTTCAGTTTAAATTGAGTTTATATGCAAATTAACTGGTTATAGGTTCCTATTGTTCAGGCTATAACAAAGAGTTTGTATACTCTTTTTTGCCTTTATAAACAGCTCTCCTTCTTACATGAACTAAGGATTTTTCTGTTGTCAAGAGAAAAAAAGGTCTTTATAAAATGGTGACTGTCAGGAAGTGTCGGGTGTGCTCCAGATATGCCAATCAGTTATGCTGTGAGCATGCTGGAGGTGGGAAAGGGGCATGGCTTATGGTGCGCTCTCCCAACTGTTGGGCTCATCTGCCTGAGGCTGCAATCCAGCGCTCTGGGCTAAAGCAGTTACTCCTTGCCCAAAATGCAGAAAACTACAAAAATCAGAATTTAGGTTGACTGAGTTATTGTATTTCAGTGATGGGTGCCATTGGGAAAGTGAAGAGAAATGAGGGAATTACCTATCCTGAATGAAACCTTGAAAGGATGACCAGAAACTAAAAAAGAGGAAAACTGGAAAACTGCAAAAGGAAAGCAGGCAAAGCTTTGCCTGCTTTAAGTCTGATATTTGCTCAAAATGCTGCCCTGAAAGGCTGTTGCTTTTCCTGGCCTCTTTCCAGGTCAGTGATCAAAGAGCGTGAAGTGCATGTGGCAAGAAAAAAAATGTTGTTTTGTTGTTTTTTTTTTGTTTTGGGGGGGGGGGGGAGTTGAATTGGATAGGTTAGTCTATAAAATTTTCCTGTCTTAGCTTTAGTACTTTCATTAGTTTGAACTTTTTTTGTTTATGGTTCAATATAAATGTTGGTGGGAAGGGTTTTAAACAAAAAAATCCACACTTCTGTAGAAGCAGGGTGGAAAAAAGTTGTATGCGCTACAGGGCATGTCTGAAACGTGCTTTGAAACTCTCTGTGAGAGTTGCTTTAATCTCAGCTAGTTGCAGGCTCTACTTTACATTAATGTTCCTGCATTTTGTTTTAGACAGTCCAATTCCCCTCAGCACCAGAGGTAGGTGGATCGACTGAAGCTTGTTATCAAAATGCAAAGAACAGAGTCAGGTGGAAAGGAAGAATCTCAGGAAGGAGAGCTGTAGGAAGAGGCACCGTTCTTCTGCCATGGGTGACAGCCCAGCTCCATAACACTCTTCATGTCTTTGAGTCCTTGATTCCCTAAAGTAACAAGGGCTTAAGAACCAGCTCTGAGCCCAAAGAGAAGACAAAACTCCAGGGAGAAGATTCAGCTCCTGACTGACCCAAACCTACCTTTTTGCGCTTTAACAGTATCCAAAGCAGTGCACTGTTAGAGGGCTGTATGTGCTCTAACAGTATCCGTACAGGGAATGCTTCACGGACTCCAGACTGAAAAGGATGCCCTGTTTCCTAGCGTGGCTGCTTTGTGAGCTGCTATGGAACAAACAGGAACTGGGGAAGGAGAACTTTCCTGAAAAAGCCAAGATCTCTGGAAAAGCTGAGGCAGGGGAGGATGACATTTAGTGTAATTGGTACATTGTCAGTGAAACAAAGTAGCAGGTCAAAGACTACTCTGTATGATTTGCTGAATGTGAAACATTTATTTATGTGAGCAATACATTAACAAATGGCAAAGTCATACACTAAAGATATGTGGAAGCATGTTTTTTTCCCCTCATCCAACATACTAATCAATTGAATCAGGGCAAGAATTATATTTCAGTCTCGATTTGGGACCAACAAAAGAATTATGCTTCAGAAATTCAATACCATGCACAAAACCAGACACTTCAGATCAAACTTGCTTCTTCCAGCCATGCTGAAGTTTTGCTTGAAGACCCTGATCAGTAGAAGTACATAGTTAAAAGAAAAATTACCAGTGTTTCATTAGTTACCTGCCCACAGCAGTATAGACTATGTAAAAGTTTTAAATCTACAACTTAAGATGGACAGGTTTTTTTCAAGTTAAAGAATTAAAGTGCATATCAGCAATTGTCTGGTGTCTGTTAGTAAACAGCTTAATGAAAAGAGCTCACTAATGTCTTAGGTGTTTTGTTTTCCTAACAAAAATAGCTCTCTGAAGACTTCTAGAATTAATTACATCACTTCAGTACATTACTTGATAGAGAACATGTGTGGACTACCTCTGGAGCAGACATGTATTGGTTTGTTCTAACCTACAGCTTAAGGAAGCTTGCTACACAGACCTGAGTGGCCAGTGATTCATATGACTCATTTATTTTGTATACATGTAAACAAACCCTGCCATCATCAGGGACTCAGGCCCACCTAAGGAGTCTGTAGAACTCATCCAATTTCCACTGAAGCTTGAAATGCAGGGGTACTTTAGACAAATATCAGAGCTATATTTAGCAAAGAAAGAAGTAGCTTAGTAAAGATTAACTATACAGTTAAGTATAAAGCAATCTTAAAAAAAAACTTACAGAAATTACACATAAGGCTATAGTAAAGTGCCTAGCAAGAATATAAAGAACAGTGTAAGCTGACAACCAATAACACTGCATTCTTGCTTCCATCACCTCTTCAGAAAGTCTCCCATGTCCAAAAGACAATTTTTCACTTCTGTTCAAAGTGTTTGGGAGCTTAAAGCCACAAACATAGTCAAATCAGAAATTGTAACTTGGAGCACAATCAGCTCACTTTTACTGTATACTGACAAATCTTCCAGGAACCCTCAAAAGCTACTGACATTGCTCTTCAGATCCTGGCTCACGGCTGTACAGAGCTCTGGTGCAGCTGCTGTCCTCGGTCCCAGCTACTTCAAACATTTGCACCCGAGTGTCTCCGTTTCTCTCTTTCCCCATTCCCCTCCTTTCATCAACATACATTTCCGGCACTACAATGCCTTTTTATTTTTGTTTTTATTTTTTACTAAAGACACAGCATCTGGCTACATCAAAACTGCAGATTATTTAGGACTATTGTGCTTTCTCAATGTCTCAGAAGTCAAGTTAAGAAGATAGATAGATGTTTCTTGATTCCATAACCTCCTCCTTCCTCTACATAGATTCCCACCTCTTACCGAGAGCTCCCACAGCTCCCGGATACATGCAGGGATGCTGATTTCCTTCCTGTGGCAAGCCAAGTAAGTGCAAGATCTATATTTGAGAGAGAGATCTATTGCCACTATTAATTTTGCTGGGGAGGAAATCTAAACTTTGTCTTTGTGTAAAAAAATACGGAGCAAGTTACATTAAAGCTGAATTTCAACTCTACAGTAATTTTAAATGGATGCTCTATGACAAACCTCCCCTCTGAATAACCATGTAAAACCAAGACTACACAGATAAGAGAATTTGAAGTGTTAAAAATATAGTTCCCCTCTCCCCCTCATTCCTTGACAAGTTAGCCTTTAAAGAACCACTGATACAAAGGAAGCTGACAGAACAGCACTGAATAAACAAACAGCTATGAAAAACTTTTGGTTACTAGATGGTTGCATTATGTAAACTGTATGCTACCTTCATGCTAGTTTAAAAGTGTTCCACATCAAGGACTCCATACTCTGGCACTTCTGGCAAGAAGCAGATGTTTTCAGGCTGGTAAAATTTTGAGATGAAAAGAGAAGTTAAAACCAATACATTTTTCCCCAGTAGAAGAAAAAGCCGTGTTTGTGTTCCAGTGGCCATCCATCATCATTTCACTTGTAAATTCAGGGGAGAAAAAAAAAAAAGTTTAAAGTTACCTGCTTGTAAAAGAGCTAGTGATATGATTTTTTTTTTTTTTGCTTTCAGAAATCTGTCACTTTGGCACTGTGCCAGTTTTCCAAATGGGTTTGCTCTTCCATAATAAACAACTAGAATCTGCATTGTGAACCAGCCTGGTAAGTAACTCAGTTTTGAGAACTGAGTTAACTCACTTTTCTGCTTCAACTGAATTCACCTTAGTCTGACAGGTTTTTTTTGGTTTTTTTTTTTTTAGACTAGTTTTCTTATCCAGCCACATCAAAAGTGTAACTAAGTTCCTCCTAAAGTTGTTTTCTGAATAACACAATTGCTTTGTATTAAAATGTAAACACTGTGATACCATAAACCTAGTGTATACAAAAGGCACAAGACAATTAGATTTGTGTTGCTGAAACTTCCTTGACTTTGAAAGTTGATAATGCATCTTTTATTATCTGACTGGTAAACTTTGACCCTAAGAAAGCTGATAATCTTCTAACTTAATTGAAAGGGCTTTCCCATGCGCAGCAGTTTGGCTTTTTGGTATTACAGTCAAACGTCCATTGCCCTATAAATGTATATATCACAAGTTATGACAATAAATCTCCTTGATAGTACTTAATACTCCTTAGGTTGTGCAATAAGAAAAGAACTGCTTTAAAGAACAATTGAGAAAAGAAATCTGAGACAACTATTGGTTAAGCAAACTAGGATTTTGCAGGATAGTGCCCTTCAGGAACACAGGTTGGTTCAAAGCCTCTTTGAACCAAAGTGAAATGCCAACATTCCTTTCCCTAAAGGGATAAGGACTCCAAATGGGACAAGAAAATCCCCCTTTCATAGGGCTGCCCAGCACAGCTCTCATCAAAAGCCCCAGTTGGCCAGGTTCATTTGTATATTATTCATCTGAATGTGGGCTTTATATCACTCCACTTACTTACAATTGGCAGACGGTAGCTATAGTACTCAATTAACACAGGAGTTTTTTCCTCCCTTCCACAACTTTGCAATCTACTGGAGGTGCATATCTGAGAAAAAAGGGAGCCTTTGCAATCATGCTTTCCAAACGTGTTCCAAAAATAGTCTGATACTTCACTCAGGTTGGCTTATCTTCAAAAATAGCTTATCAAATGCTCAAAAGAAAATACAGTCCATCAAGCCACTCAATTATTCATCATCGATTGTTCTCCCAGTCCATAAAGCAAGTAGCGCAAAAATTTGATTTAAGTCACCCACTTGCAGCAGTTTGAATTAATACAGGTGAATTCTCAAAACCAAGACAAGAACATGGACTGATATGTTAGGAGGTCACATTTTTCTTGTGCTGAGTATCAAAGTAAAACCAGCCACAGAATTTGCAGAATAACCTCAGCCCCCTTTTTTCATTTCATAATACTCAGAATTATCTTTTTACCATTCAAGCACAGTAATTTTAAGTTGAAACATTCTTTCTATGGTTCAAAAGTAGTATGTCTTGTTTCATGTTTCAAGCAGTGATATGGAGACAGCTAATTATCTGTCAGTTTATTTTCTGAGCACATCCACACAAGAGCAGACAGGAACAGTTGGCCAATAGGGCTGAGTTTTGGAAGAATATATCCTCCTTCCAACAACTGCTTTTTCTTGAACTGAAATAGAACATAACATTCCAAAATATGTTTTTAGAAATGAAGAACACTTAACAACTGAGTTACTTCAACAAGTCTCATCAACTCAAACGCAATGGCAAATAGTAGCTGAATAAAAATCCTACACACGAAAGAAGAGGAGGATATGAGACTGTTAACTTCACAGTTATGTTATTAATTCATGTCACATGGCAGTGACTAAAAACTGGCCACATAGTAAGCTGGCCACTGGACCTTTATAAAAATCAAGTGAGCAATCTTCACAGTACTTACAGGTACCTACATCATTAAACACAATTCTGAATTGCATTAGTGTGAACTATACCTGGCAGTCTCAGTTACTAGTTTTCTGCTTACCTATACAGATTGATCATATCCTTAGTTCGGATAAAAATTCAAATTAGCAACACCTTGGCAGGTATGTGGGCTGTATTTTTCATGACAAAGATGCTTTTGAGAGATTAGTTGGTTCTGTTATTGTGATTCAGCATCTTTAATAGAGTATCCTATTCAGTGCCGAGGAACAAATATAACTCAAAATGTTGACAATAAAGGAATAAAGTCAAATGCAAGATAGTCCCTGGAAAAATACTGTAAGAACATTTTCAGATAAGGGCTCTTATTCCAACAGCGGTATGTCAGCTATATATATATGTGTACATACACACACAATAATGTAGCTCGTTACATCACCAGAAACACTTAAGTGCCACGTAGAAAAATCTCAGACACAGCTATGGGTACAAGTTCATGCCAGAGAAACTACCAGTCCTTAGCTCTTTCAAGCTCTGTGTACCTTGGTCCATTTGTCTGAGGCAAAACTCATTTCCAGCCCCCCGCCCCGGCTTTAGGTGCCTGTACACTTGCTCTTTGGAACACTTAACCTTCTCTGAAAGTGGTCTCTCTGCTCTCTTAAATGTGTGCAGGGGGGAAATCAGACCACAAAATACAAATCTAAACTACTACTTCCCCAGACTGAATTGAAAAAAAAAAAAAAAGTGTGAAATGTTTATCAAGCAAGATACCTTGAAAAACTTTTTACGCACTTTGAGTCTCAAGAGCAACCCACAGACCACAGTAAGGTTGACACTCAAAATAATTTAAGTAACAGAGTTGCAAGGAAATGTACACATTGTTCAAAGAAAGATTAAGGTTAACAAGTTAAGTACATTATGTATTAGAGCTTTGAAAGCAGAACCTCAAATATGACAAAGCCAGTTGTAATTAGTGATATTTCTGTAACATTTCATTGTTTTGATCCAAATATTTTTGTTGTTTTTTTTTTTTAACTAAAGTTGGTCTTCAGTGCTTTATTCTTGGATTGCTGTATTTAAAAACACCAGCACTTGAGTGGGATGACATGTAAAAGACATGAAACTAATAGAAGTTGAATAATTCATGCTTTCCTAGAAGCTATTCTTTTATTGAAGCAACCGATTGATTCAAAAGGGCACAGGCATACCAGTTTAGGTTTTGAAGGAAGGGTTAGAAATGAGAGTTGAGATTATAGAAAGAAAAACTATGTAGAGCAGTAAAAATTGCTGACACCAGCTGGAAATTTAATTTCTCATCTCTTCAATTGCAGTCGACATCCACATTTTAGACTCACATAACCCATTTCAGTTCCAGTATCATTGCTGCTTGTAGATACCCCAGAAGCACCTATGTCTCGAACCTTTCATGTCTTCATCGCTTAATGTGCCCACACACACAAGAGTAAGGGCCACCACTTTTCCCGTTTCTCTGATGAATCCAGTTAAACTTACTGAACTTCTGGGAACTTCTGCTGCAAGCTACAGGCCATCTCTTGGTATCCACATACCTCTCTTGTTTTTATAATTTGCCTTCACGCTACAATACCATGTCTGATTGATCTAGTAACAATTGTTACAGTTCTCCAACTGCTTTCTGAGCCTTCCACTTCCTTCAGGAATGACTGACAGCAGTCTGACAACTGTGACAGCTTATCCAGGAGCCACATCACATAGATGTGAAGGACGTCCATTTGAGAGACCTCTTCAGGATGACTGAAAGAATGCCTCCAACAGCAAACATGGAAGGGACCTTCCTCCATCAATTTTGTTGGAAAATTGTAAACTACAAAGTATGCTGAAATTCTGAGGGAGGTTAGAGTCTGAAATAGGAATCTTTTACCCAACTTTAAATATGAGATAGTTGATTTCAGTAAGCTTTGGTGGAGTTAGAAGTCTTCAAATAATAGAGCAAAGTGCACCTGATAATTGTGTCTGTTCCCCCCAACTTAATTATTCAGTTCTCCTCCTTTTATGTACAGAATGGAATTTAGTAGCTGAATCTCAAACTTGTCTTTTGAGAAATCTCAGTTGCTAGAAACGAAAAAAACGCAGTTGTTTTTGACAACAGGTGAGTAGATGCTTAAGAAGTCATTTGGACACCTTTTTGTCTTCAGCAGTCAGTGCTTGTATTACTAAATAGGATGATGTAGCTCAGTTCCTGGCATAGAATAAGCTGCCAGTAGTTTTACCTATTAGAATAAATCTGGGTTTTTTGATCATCTGGTAGACCTTTGCCTGCTATACTGCACCAAGCTATGATCTATCGCATTCAGGGTTAAGAACTAACTTGAATTCTAAAGTTAGCTTTACAAAGATTTGTCACACAGCCTTTAATAGTCACAATTTCATTATGTTTCTACAGAAAAGGTATAATATATTTTGGAATGCTATCTAAAAGTACAAGTATAAAGATTAAATAATACTCTGAAAATATGACCCATTAAAAAAGAAAAAAAACAGAAGTTTAGTTTAAAACCATGAATTTATGTGCTACTGTCTCATAGTAACAAAATTAAAAGGGAGAAGAAAACTGATCTTTTGTGCATTCTTCGAGTGGTAAGGAATCACGGAATAGCACACAAAAATTAGGCACACAAAACATTAACATACCTTTCCTTCAATATTCAGATGTTTCTTTTAAGAGAAACTAGGTCTCATTTTCCATGGTTAATGCAGGATTGCTCATACCTTTAAAGACAAAAAATAATATCTTTAAATGAAAAGTTGTCATGTCATTTTTAGAAAACAAGACAGCCTTTAACTATCAATTGTCTTAGTTTTGTTCTACTTGCTATTAAGTCTATTGTCCTATGTCCATTACGTTGCTTTTCACTAGTTGCAACAAGATATTGTCATATTCTGGTATAAGTAACTTGTCTCCCAAAACAAATATCAGGCTGAGTCCAAGAGATAATTAGCATCTACTAGTATTAGTGTTCTCAGTATCGCTTAGCCATGTTTATCTATAACTTGTAAATATATGGGCAGCTTGATTAAATGGAACTTTTTTGTTTTGTTTTACAAGCATGCATCTAAAAGATGAAGTTTAATGGCACAGCTCTATGCAATCAGTTTTGGTTCATGAATACAAACCACGGAATCTCTGTCATTTTTACATTATATTCTCTAAAAATAATTTATTAGAGAAATAATTACTGCAGCATAAATAATTCATTACCAACTTTTCCCTTTTCAGCCTTTGTACTTATTTCTGACCAAGACTGCGTATCAGTAAGAAGGTGGCTCTGGGAATCGCGTAGTGGCTTTGCGGGAAAGAGGTGATTCTCACTGTAACATGATTAAAAGAGAACACAGAAGTGAACTTTGGTAATTTTACACCATCCTACTACACCTTTCAAACACTGTATCATATGAAATATTTTCTGTATCTTACCTTGTTTATTTTCTTGTGAATCACTAAACTTTTATCATTACAAATGCTACATTGTAGTTGTCACAGGTACAAGTATAATCTAAAAAGCAACTCTTTAATGTAAAACTGGGAAACAGCTCTTTTTTTTTTCCTCCTTTGGCAGATAATATAAATTAACAAACATAATTTAATTCCAAATACACTCTACACATGCGCTTGCCCCCTACAACAAATCTGACATGATAAGCAGTGAAGAGAACATCTCTGAAATCTCTTGCCTGACCTAGGCTACAGTTCGCTTTCTCTGTACCATCCCATCATCACGCATGGACTTGCAACAGTACAAATACATGCCTAAATTACTAGGATAATTCGTAAAACATGCTTTAGCTGGATATTTCTTGTCTGTCAATAAATAACTAGCTAAAATTTACTGTATTTCTTTTATGAATAAAAGATTGTCAGTATGAATTGATTATCACTTCTTCATCACACATTCATATAAATCTTATATGAACTTACAAGTACTTATCACATACGTCATTTATATAAATGTTGCTAAAAAGTCACAATATGAAATATAGGTATTATGACATATTTATTTAGTTTAAATAATGCCTGCAAACTTTTCACACTTTAAAGATGCCATGACTGTGAAAGATGACGATTAAATTTAAGAAAAATGTCTCCTACGATCAGCAGAAACAAAACATGTGAATTTGACGTGCAGCTTCCTTCCCACTCCCCACTTCAGAACTCCCTGCCACACACAACTGTTGAAGCCTGCCGTTCTGTTAAACAAAGCATCCTTCATCAGATATGAAGAAACAGGCCTCCTCAAAAAGCTTCTCAAAGTAATGCATATATATCTCCCAGGCAGACTGATTAACTATATCTCAGGCAGACCAATTAACTATCTCCTATACATGCAGAACAAAATGTTATTGAAACTATTTAGGCATGCATAGAAAATTTAGGTCCTGAAAAGCCACTGAACTGAGGCAAAACACACAGAAAAGAAGAAAACATTATTCCCATAAACTGAGATAGAAATCTGAAGCTTAGCTGAATGACAACTTACTTAGCTGTTTTAAATTTTACTTGTATTTCTTAACAGGAAACTCTTCATTTGCTTACCACTTTCAGGTATTTTATATATGGTTCCATTTATACGTGCACTGGAAAAAGAATATCAGCTATTTGAAATATGTAACAATAAGCAGAAGATTACTTTTTGGATGTTGAATTAAGACCACCAGGCGTGGAAGCTTGCTCAGGATCTTGATTAACAAGGCAAGTTGGGAAGGAGCAACCATCCCCTAGACTGAAAAATTCAGAATTAGTGTTGCACACAAAAAAGCTTTGAAGAATTGTTTCTTCAAGTGAATTTTACCAGATCTCATTTCAGAAAACTTAAGAAAATAAAACAAACCCCAACCTTCCTGTGGTTCCTGATCATTCAACAAATAAAGCATTCAAAATTAGCACATACCTTGAAAACACAGGCAGCAGCCAGTATTTCTTCTCATCACCAAACACCTGCCTTAGATTTTTGCTAAAGCCCAAACTAAAACCATTCTTGTCCGTTCTATGACGAAATATGGGAGCTCTGAACACCTCTAAAAGAAAAAAAAAGTTGCATCACATTTCCTTGCAAGATAACACATTTAAGTTTCACGTCAGTATTTAGACAATTGCATTGATGAAATCATCATCCAAGAGGAAACGCTGTACTGCATAAACGACCGAGAAAGTTAGGTCACTCACAAAACCCAAAGTCACTGATACACTGTATTTGCAGAGGAAGTCTTGTGGCTGAGAAAGGGTGGAAAGTCTTGCCCTGTACCCTTGTCTCTAATCAAGGCGAGGAAGAGTGAGGAATTTGCTTTTTAAGAAGGACTGGTATATTATATGAAGATTTCACCATGTGATTACACTATAGAGTTTTCAAGAAAGAAAAACCTACACAGAAGGTTTACTACCTAACGAGTAACGGAAAAGAAGAAAAACTTAACCTACTTTAGTAGTAAGACCAGCTTTTCACACCCTGGGGTAGGAAAGCATTCTATGTTTTAACAGCTGCATAAAGAAAGCACTTTGGTCACAGATCGAGATAATTCCCCATGGATGTCCAATCCAAACATCTGCAGAAGACAGTTAAATATAGCTTCAAGCGTTGCAAAGTGTCAGAAGCAGAAAACTCGTTCGCTTTCCACCAAGTGACTGATAGCCATTTAATTCCCTGAATTGGCTATATATACTAGGCAAACCATGTCCTGAGGTACTCACAGTACAGCTTATACAAGCCCTTCTGGCATCATGCAGGGATTGTTCTTCTATATGAAACTCTCAGCTATGAAGTGCTGAAAATGTCCTTCAACATGCAGGTATGCATTAGTTATAAGGTGTTTTAAAGAAGGGGGAGGAGAAAATAGAGACATCCTTTTAGATATCTGTGCTAGGCTAGGAAAACTGCTCCTAGTATGATTTAAGCATAGCCACACTTAAAGCTGTCATAGTTTAATAACCCAACTGTTGCATGTTCAGGGCCTGACACGTAGAGCTATTCCCCAAAGTAAAATGGAAAGAGATCCATCTTTTCAAGTAGCTTATGTGTACAGAGAACATGGTATATTAACTGTGCGAAATTTAACTAGTTCTACAAGTGTAAAATGAATTAGAAGTGTACTACCTTACAGTTTCAATGAACAAATATTTTTTATACTTAACTGTGCACTAAAGCTGATAACAGTTTATAAACAGAATACTCAATTAACTCCTTTAAGCATCATTAATAAAACTTTTTTTTTCTCCACTTACAACTACTTTGAATGATTTCCTCTGTTATTAATCTATAAGTTAATGTCTGATTTTTCAGAATACCAAAGAAACACAAACCCTAGGGAAATCTTGAAGTGAGCAAGCTTTCCTCCAATGATTATACATAAAGTTTTCCATTAATAATGGAAACATGAGTAGAACATAATACATTAGTAGAGCCCAGGAGAACTGGAAAAAAACCACTTTCACTTACTTAGACTAAGTCACCTTATATCAACAGGAAAGTATTTAGGGATCTAGATATTTTGACAAACATATCAGCAAACTGGTATTATTACAGTCCAGGATATATAGTAAAGAACAGTCACATAGAAATCTTCTGTTCCTCTTTTTTTCTAGATCTGTAACCAGACAGATGTTTGTCGGTATGGTGGGAAATTGTGACTTAACACTGGCAAGTTCTTTGAGGTTTTTAAAAAGATCAACTAATAAACTGCCTAAATTGCCTTCTAGATCTCTGGGTTAATTTACTACTAAATACAGAGGAACCGCTTTAAAATTTGTTCTTCTGCATCAGGTTATTTTCTGCCATTAGCTCTTTGTACTCATTCATGTTGATCAAAAATAACAGTATTAGGGCCACAATATGTTTACAGCTTGTCTTTTATATTTTTTTCCCCTGCTTCCAGTGCAGGCAAATTTTTGGAATTACTAACCACATCTTTCAGAGCTTTTTAAAAAATTCTAACTGAAGCGAAAGTAGGAGCTGGGGTTCTCTAGGGGACAAGTAAGTTGGTAGGGGATGCTAGGAGACAATGGAAAGATGGGAATGAACTGCTGGGAGTCACTACCCAAAGGACATCAGAGGACTCTGAGATGGGGTCAGAAACCTGGGAATGCTAAGTATGGAGCAGCTGTGCAAGCAGGTATTAGCGCGTGAAGCATTTGTTACAAAATCATCTCAATTTTTTAAAAATTTGTTCAGCTTCTGTTAATGAGCTGGAGATGGGAGAAGCTGGGAGGAAGAGGATAGGTTCATTAACGCTTGGTACCCTGGGGCAGGACACAAAATAAGCCAACATTTCTGGGGAGCAGCAGAAATGGGCAATCAATACTGGACACTGCCAGACTCAGGTTCTTCTAACAAGGATCCAAGTACAAAGGCATGTATACAGGATCACCTTCTTTCTCCATTACTTCCATACATATATATATATATTTATTTTTTTGCTGTCAAACACAGAAGCATTAAATTTGCTTACCCAGCGTAGACTTATTCTTGCTGACAAGCCAGCAATGATACCCAAAGAGAGAAGAAAGACTGACAGAAAACATGGCTGCAGCAAAGAATAAAAACATGATGTGGAACTTGGCTTGAGTATCAGGAAGGCCATTCTAAAAAGAATGGAGAATTATGCTGTTAGAATTGGAAAAATAACTGTTTAATTCGATTATTAATAACCCTCTCTATTCAACCAAATTGAATTCTATGCAGACACAAATATACAGTGCAGCAAGAGCCTGAATAAATGTGCTATATATCTGTTACGTACAGATGTATGTATATCTGTTATGACCAAGGCTGTTGACAGCACGCAAATTAAAGAAACTGGCCCTTTCCTGGGACAGTATAAATATTGACAACAAGGATGTGAAATTTGGATCTGAATCTTAGTTGTGTATTTTGAAGTGACTTCTAGAGAAGAATGGTTTATGTTCAGAACAATTATCTTGTTTAATTGGCCTTCTCAAAAAAGTTACGCTCTAGCATAGCACAGCATAATCATCAATGCAAATCTAAGAGGGTAATATCCTAGGCTGTGAATTTTAATAATTATAACAGTACAGATTTTCCCTGAAGCTTTGTCATTATATATTATTAAACTAAGTCAACAAAGCTATCTAAAATGCAGACCTCCCTTGTAAAGTGTTTTCTGATTGATGATTGCATACTTATTATATACAGCTTCAAAATAATGTAGGAATAAGTGAAACTTCATAAACTATGATAAACAGAAAAAAAGGACTACAATTATTAGCTGAACTTTTGTACCTCACATTAGGAGATACTAGACTACAACTTAAAGCCTCAGATCTCAGACTTCTTGCACAGGAGTAACTTCATATGCTTTAAAGACAGTATGTAGAGGTGTACTTACTGTCCAAAACTTGATAAAATACTGTAAATCTGTTGCAGCAATGAAAATGCAGTACAGTAGCGAATAAGCCAAGAAGAGAAGAAAAAATTTATAATTGGAGAATCCTACGCAGTTGTTCACCCTGACAACAACAACAAATAAAAAGGCAGATGGAATGTAAAGAAAATTTCATTCATTGCTTTAGTCCAATTTAGCATTAAACTCATTTAGTGTAAAAAAAGTTGCATCAGTATGTAAACCAAGCTTTTGCTTCCTCTCTCTATGTGATGCCCCAGGCTACTGAAATGTATTTAGCTTCAACTCCTGAATCAGCAAAACAAAAGAAAAAATCCCCCTAAAATGCTACAAAGTAATACCGCTTTCTACAGTCTACTGAAATTAAATTCTGGCTTATTGCATGAAATCCGTTCCCAACACATCTAATGTAACTGTGAATGGCTGTTGTGGTTACTTTTTTTAGTTTGTAGGTAGGTTTAGATATCCATCTTTTATTATATAGGTATACTGCACACAACAGCTAGAAGAGTTGCAAGCCAAAATTTGGAATCTTGGTTGAATTTTTGAGAATAAAGGCAGTCTCATTTAATTCATCTCCTTCATTATTAATCATATTATAGACCAGGTGATATTTCCCAAGGAACCCTTAAACACAGGTCTTTAAAGGAAACTTGATCAGCACCAGGCTTGCACAATGCTGATACTGTTCAACAATTCAGTCATCTGAACCAAGCCGGCTTAAAAAACGCATTCCAGCAAAAGAGAACTCGGGAGCCCTGTCACTATAGTGTCTCTTACTAATCAGAGACACTAGCAAGCCCAAGAATCAGCAAAGGAAAAGAAATAAATTTTTCACGTTCATCCAGCTGGCTACATATGAATGGAGTTTTTTTTTCCTGAAGAGGTTTCACAGAGAAAGAAAAAAAATCAATTGGTTTTAATATGTCGTTATCCTCATTTTGCAATTTAATCTATATAGTATTCCAAAATTGCTTTATCACTTTTATAGCGTTAATTTGTCAGGCTGAGCAAGGAAATGTGGACATCTGCTCAACTTAGAAATATAGAACAAAATAATACATCTTTTCTCAGTCCTTTTCTGTTCCTTAAGTGAGAGAGAATGAGTACGAAAGGGATAATTCTCTATCAAAAAGCGTTACATGTCCTTCAAGTGCCTTTCCTGTTTGTACTCATTGCTTGTTAGATTAAAAACGATGAGCAGTGTATATACTCTCAGACTGGGTATGTTTGTGTTGTTCAGGTACAAAGGGTCTGCAAATAGCTATAGTAAGCAAACACTACTGAGAGGAAATTGGAATTTACTTTTCTAAAGACTATGCCGTAGTTAGATACCGCTTTATTGGCCTTTTACATAACAAATCCTAAACTAAGCACTTAACCGTTATTTGATGCAACGGTTTTTATTCTGAAGTCTAAGTTTACCCGAAGGATGTGTTCTGCCTTAAGATAATACAAGAAAAGCTCAAAAAATCCCAACACAGATCATAAAGTTTATGAAAAGTATGTAATTAGATAGTGTGACTTTTCACTGATAGTTTTGTCAGGGTACAGGAAATAGCCTTTTTTCTTATGGTTAAAAGAAATTTCTTCAGCATTCAAAGTTTATTTTGGGAGGGTGGGTTGCTTGTGTTTTCAAAGAAACACACTCCTAAGACTAGGCAGCACCAAGTTTCACACACCAGTATCCCTGTAGCACAAAATATGTAGAAAGCACCTCTATACTATACCAAGGCAAACGTTTCTAGCAGTCGTATCTAACGTGCAGCTGCAAAATAAGGGGAGATTATTAAAATCATGCTGCATTATGTCAGAGGCTCTAGTGAAAACTAGAACAGGAGGAGCCCTCCATCCCTTCCGTCCCCAGCACGCAGTCCTCTGCCCAAGACTCTGGTTTAAAGTCAAAATAGTTTCCGGGAATACCTAGCATGAACGTCCTGCGTTGGACAAGCTATTCTTTTCTGGTTTTTGGTTTAATGTGGTGGAGAACTGCTACCTAACGCTCAATCAACGCTAACTTGGACAATTCCTGCTACTAAACAGTTACCTTTGATTACTTCCACAGGATACCTGCCAAGCTAAAAATAAAACTAATTACTCATCCTGCCTACCCACCAGTTCCAAGGGCTGCTGAAAGAGGACAGGAAAACAAAAACACTGCGCAGGCTAGTATGGCCACAAAGAGGGGAAAGGAGCAAGGCAGGGAGCAGGGGAGAATAAAAAAACCAAAACCATTCACAACAGCTAAAGAGCTAACATGAGGTTTCTAGCAAGCCCACCCAAGCTGTCCTGGGAGCTCAAGGGGAACACGGCATAGCCCCTCCCTTCGTTTTTTTAGGCTGAAGTAAAATTTCATCATTCAACGCAACTAGGCCACAATAAGACTCAACGACCCTGAAGGACAGATGTAATCCTTAACAGGATTTCTTTTTCTTATTGACTAGAAGTCTGCCTTATCCAAACTGTAGGAATAAAGAATTACCAAAGGTCTAAGACAAATGATATATAAACTCTCTTCACATTTCACACCTAGGAAAAGAGGATATAAGCAAATAATTCCATCTGTTCTGCAAGACCAATGAATTCACATAAGCGTCTACCTCGAGCAATAGTAAAGCATCATCTTCAGAACAGACCCCTTAAAAATTTATTTTACCAAATCACAAGGTTAGAAGAGGAAGGCATATAGCATACTCACCAAGGGCAATGATGATCCATTTTCAAAATGCATCTTTAAAAAACAGAAGCCCAAGTATCAAAAATTACAAGTAATGCCAAAAAAGCCAGAAGCAATTATGTTTGTGATATTTAAATTAGTCAGGTACAGATTAAGAATCACCTATATGTACTGACAGATATCTAATCTATTTAGCAAAGATAGCTATTTAAATTCACATAATATAGTTTACCTACAACTACCCAAAACACCTGTTTTGTCAAAAGGCTAGTGCTATAAGAAAATCCCACCTACCACTTCAGCTTTAGGATTTGTTCCTCAGTTTGAATAAAATTCTCAACTGTTGCTCATTCTCTAATAGAGATTTAGAAACTGGGTTAATTCAGTTATTACATATTTAGTGACGCAAATAAATATATTTCCAAGTATATGATATAGTTTTTACATAAATATATACATACACACACATGCATTTTAAGAGGAACTTACTGTATGTGAACAAAACAAAATATTTTTTGCAATTAATTAGTCTCCATTAATAAAAGGTGCACAAAAAATCAGACATAATCAAAGCAAGTGAATTTTGAGAAAAAAAGACTTAATGAAGTTAAGGTGTTTTGCAAAATATATTATCTAATTAAATGCTGCAAATTTGACTCATATTTCACAGGGCAGAGGTCATCCTTTTTTTCTACCCTACTCAGACATGAGATTGTTCCTATCTCATAACGCAACTGCCACCACATACAACACAATCAAGATCCTCCTTCTATTTTAAATTAACAATTCTTTCAGTGCCTCTGCTATTTTGCTGTGCAATATGGCAAGTCTTTTCTGCCTCACAATAACGTCGCAAGGTTTGATTTATTACTAGCTTAAGAGTATTTGGTACAACCTTAAAAACTAAGAATAAATCAATGTTTGAGGAAGCCCCTTTTGGTGAAGTTAGGAATTTAAATCACTGGGTGCAAGAGGGGAGAAATACAGAGGCACCTCAGCTAATCAGGGAGACATCAAAGAGAGGAACAACTGAGAAAAGAAAACAATTAGATTTCTGAGAAATCCAGAGTTGACCTTCCCTTCGTGTTACACAAACAAAAACTTTATATTACTGCTTCAGTGAGAAATGGGGGCTGCTTGGTTGTTTCCTTGTACAAAAACTAAAAATAATCTTCAAGTTATCCAATGAAAAATAGGATGTTAAGTTTATTACCTCAGGTAAGATATAAGTGACATCATGATTAGATTAAGATGGGTGATCTTTTTTCAGATTCTAACAAAAAAAAAAGTAAATTTTGGTTTAGCAGCTATTTTTGGATACATTCCTAAAGAAAGTTCTTTATTAAAATTCATAATTCTCAACCTTTAAGTAAAGGATTCATAAGACCACCTAAATCCATGCCAGGATCGATAAAGTCATAAAGTTATGGCAAGCTACAGATTTCCTTAGAAATAAATAAATAAACTTGAAAAAAAACTAAGAATAAAAATAAAAGCTTCTCTGTCCAGAAAAAAAAAAGCAAACACATTTATTCAATAAAGCATTTATTAAGAATATTTTCTTACTTGTCGCATACAGAACAGTGATGGCAACGATCTGGTTTCACAAGCTGGCATCTGTCACAGTATCTGATTGCTAAAGTAAGAAGTTCCAAAATCAGATATAAACACAGTTACACATTTTGATTCCTGAAGTCTGATCCAAAGTAAATACTTAGAAGCCCATCTCAACAGAGCTTGGAGTAAAGTATTTCAGCATGATCAGAAGCAACTGCAAACACTGAGGCACTCTGTACGTATTGTCATACGGAATCTACCAGAGTGAACCCCAAAAGCTCAGTTTTTGGAATCATGACAATCAGGATTTTCTCCTCTAAACCCAAGTTAGGTCTTCAAAACAACCAACCAACAAAATTCACAAAACCCGTACTAGACCAGAAAACCATTACAGCCTGTTCAACAACAACAAAAAATTAAGCTATTATTTTGACAGCTTTAATTTATTTTATCAGATTACCTCTGGATTTGCTTTGCTAGCAAACATTCACAAACTTATGTTATCATTACGTTAAGACCAAGGGAAAAGCTTTTGTTCTTTAAGCTGAAGAACCAGTGAGTGCAAGAGTAACAGTTTCTGTGATCTGTCTAGCTCTTTATCTTATACATAGACATTAATTCATCTGCAATTAGTGTTTATTTTTTGCTTATGAAAGAAGACAGGAAATCTATGCAATTAAAGACTACTACTACTTCTTCTGACGTTTGTCAATATTACCTGCTATTTTTTAACTTGTTCGCTAGTGTTTAGCAAGGTGCTGTCAATCCATTTGAAAATCATAAATTGTATATAGCAACTTACTTTCCAATAATGTTTATTGAATTAATGTAAAGTTACAAAAAAAATCTGGTGTTGCAATGGCTTAGTATGTTTCCACTGACTAGATGTATGCAATTCCTGGGTCAGTTTATTATTGTATAAACTATGAAAAGCAGTTCTTCCCCACAATCTACACCCTTGAAAATTCTCACATCCTTCAAGTAGCAAAGTACATCAAGTCACCCGCCTTCGGTGGCCTCCTGAACAGGCAGTATTTACCTCCAGACATTGTCCGCGTATAGATAGGAAGATCCTTGGCTGCTCGTCTTAAGACTTCTTGCTGGGATTCACCTCTAGGCTCCCTCTCTAGAGATTCCTTGTCTGAATATGACAAGTGGAACTGGAAATAATTTTTAAAGTCAAGACTACGTCAGCAAATTTCAAGGTAAGTAAATATCTCTAGACACGTAAGGAGAAATATTCATTAACTAAAGATGGATTAGTGGCACATACAAGGTATCACAGCAAATAACCTGGTGCTCCTAAGAGCACTAATTCAGTTCACGGTGTTTTTTATCTAACAGTAGAAATAAAACCACACTAAAATTCTTTCTGATGTACTCCAAGAAGTACTTAGAGACACTCTTCAAGAGGAGGATCAAGAGCTATCATAATCAAATTTAATTACCAGTCCCTTGACAGGTCAGTTAATCTACTTTTCTAATAGTAAATATTTGCTAGTGAATATAAGCTACAGATGCCAATCTTCAACTGAAAGAAAATATGCTACCAACAGTAATAGTAGAAAAGACAGCTAAACTTCTTTGCTAGTGTCTGGTGTTTTCCCTTTTATTCTTTGCCATTGGAGAGTCACTGATCTCTTCATGCACGCATTACAGTGTGTTTCTACTTCAGAGTCTGACTGAAAGAACGGAAGAGTTGGATGCCCTATACATAATAGAATAAACATATCTTCACATCTTCTGGCATCAAAGGACTGCTTCTGCTGTTGTTTAGAACGACAGTGAAAGACGTTGCTCTAGTAAGTGCTGAAAGGTAAAAATTCGTGAAATAGATCCATGGTATACACTAAGAAGTCCAATTCTTTTGTACGCTAAAGTTCTCTGCAGCACAGCAACAGAGTCAGCATTGTAACTCTGGCTTCTAGAAACGGGGAGATGCAGAAGTCTTTGGTAACTCTATCACAGAAATAAGACACAAAATCATCTCTGAAAAGAAGCCTGTATTTGGCAGGAAAAGTGACTAGCCTTAACTTGCACCAGCAATAGAAGCATTCTCAAATAGCATTTATGCCCACAAAAATGCTTAAGAACTAGCCATTTTAACAGTATTAAATATTTTCCTAAATAAAACGGGTGCATGCGACACTAAGAAAGCAGACAGAAACACAGAGTTAGTAGCCCATTTTCACCTCTTTAGAGGAAGAATCAATCCTCCTTCTTGATAAGAGCTCACAATCTTCCAGTGGAAACTAGACATTCATTGTGTGACATGAATTGTTCAGAGTCCCTTTAATTTTTTCCTAGCAAGGTTACACTCTTTTAGCTACTTTTTTTTTAAAAGTTGCCTCCTGTTTGGAGTACATTAAGCTATAGTTCCATCATTTTGTATTGGTTCCCAGAACAGTTACGAGTGTACAAAAAAAGAAAAGGTTTTGGTGCTCGCGAAACAACCTTGTCTCCCACCTTCACATAACACTTGTACAGAGCTGATACACACAGGAGCAGAACGACCACATCTACAACGAAGTTCCTCAAAGATAAAATGCATCCAGCTGACTCCCTCACAACAGATTGTTAACCATAAAAGTTTTCTCTGCCACTGAGAGGTAACTCATAAGCTTTCAGGAGAAAGCAAGAAAATGTATTATACAAAAACTTTACAAAGTATAGGGAGACCATTGTAGTTAGGCTAGTACAGTATTATTTGAGTTTGAAGTATTTCTCTGGACAATTATCTCTAACATGGGAGGGATGGGCAGAAAACAATGAACATCAGAAGAAAAACGTCAGATTAGTAATATTTTAAATTCAAAGCCACAGAGCTAGTAATTTGACTGGTGCTTTTTACATGTGTAGAAAGTTGAAATAAGCTTAAGATACATAGCCAGTGTTTTTCCACCAGCTATAGTATTCACTAGAACAAAACACCAAAGCTCTATGCCTTTTCCAGTTTTCAGAAGAATATTTGTTACAGTTGGTATCCAATTTAATTTAACTGAGACTACATACTTTTAGATTTACAGATTTTATTCTAGAAACTGGAAGCCAGACAGTAACTTAACACTACAAAATACCTCAGTTAATTTTAAAAATAAAAGCTCTAGCAGACTAGCAAGAAGACATGGAACAACAGAAGATGTCATTTACTGCCAGCAACATTGTGTAAATTCAAAGAACATGGAAACATCACATACAGTTTTCTAATTCCTAACTTCACTACTTTTAACATTCCATTTGAAGTTCTCCGATAGTATTGTACGGTGACTTTAGAAGGCCAGTATAATTACTAAGGATTTGTCCAAATGCTGACAACAGTACCATTCTAAAAGTCTTTTACTGACATCAGTCCAGTGACTTGAATACCTCCCTAATTATTGCTACAGTCACTTTATACATACACATACTCTGCTATGTAATTACTAAATGAAATAGGTTCTTAATTTTTGTTACATCTCTCCTCTCTGCACCAAGTGGTAGTAAAGGTTGCAACGTGAATTTCACGAGACACACTCATTACTTAGAATTATCCACTTGTTTGCACAATTATACATCTTACTAGTGCGGAAAAGGAAATCAGAAAAAAAGCCTTGACACAACAGGCAGTGGAAATCACAAACTATTTGTTTTGTGTTGGCATGGTCTATAGGAGCTGAAGTTGTTATGAGTCCATCTGAAATAAACATTGGCTTTGTGGATATTCAGACTCTAAAGCAGCCACACCAAGCTTTAAGGCTGAGAGGAAGCATATGTGACATAGCACCTAGTACAGAAGTTGGAGTTTCTGTACAAAGACAGGATGTAAGAGGCCAAAAGCTTGTTTTGCCTTTTTTTTTTTTTTTTTAAAGATAATGCCAAAAATAATGCAAAATTAGGCTTGAAAAAACGCAACACTAAATTCAAAGCAATTATCTTGAGGTTATGTCATGTTGAACACGGTTTTATATCATAATATTATTCCAGACAACTGGATCCTTCTTATTTAACATTTCTGTATTAGCTGGCCTTAGATTTTGGGTTTATATTCAACACCAACTTCTTTCTATGCAGCACTTACATACTAGTTTCCTTCCTGCTTATTCAGCAGCAGCTTCCCAGCATCAGCTTACCTGATTGTGCGACCACCTCAAAACTCCCAAGTTCCTTTATATCAAAGCAGATGTAGCAGAAGCTGCAATTTAGAGGTCAATTGACAAATGCTGGCAGGTAACTTGGAACATATGTCTTAAATAGGTGGAAATAAAATTGTTCCCCACTTAAAAATATTATATTCCCATGCAAATATTTAAGCTCCTAGTTCAAATAACTGGCATTTTTAACTAGAGACTTTTATTTTCCTTCTCTATATCATAAATGTTCTCTCTTTTTTTAATCTATTCAAAGATTTTTAAATTTAGTGAAGGTATATATTTTTTTGTCTTGTCACTTATGCTGTTTGCAACATGACTTACTCCTAATGAGAAGCTGTAACTATAGTGTGTAGAAAGGTGCACCTGGTAAAGCCATATGAGTTCACAGCTGAAATTATTTGAATACTACAAAATCAGACATTTGACCAGGCTAGTTCAGAAAAAAAAGTTAAGTTTATCTTACTTCTTTTGAAGGATTCATTGGTAGCGTAAAGATTGTTTTCCAATATGACCAGATGAACAGCATGAAAAATATGTGGTAAGCAACCAGGCACACAACTAAAATCAAAGAGGAACAGAATTAATACAAATAGACCACTATACTACTTACCAACAGATACTGTACATATCACAGATAGTTAATCTAACAAATATAAATACAGAGGCTTTGCAAAAGCTTTGTAACAAACATATTGCACTGCAACTTTACATGAGACAAATACAGACTTACTGCGCTGGGAAAGTCATAACATAGGCTACATATATTACAAAAGTTTGAAGGGAATTCTTGATAGCATATGAGAACCCCATAATTAATAAGCAAGCGCGCTCCCTTTATCCACTTGTTAAATCCTATTTAACTGATCTTTCTCTGCCCTTCAGTTTTATAAATCATTTAGAGAGACAGTTAGCCATGCAAAAATAAAGGAAATATAGCTACCTAAACAATGATCAGGCTGAGAAGAGTCTTTGGCTGTATATGGATTACTATCTGAATATTAACTATAATCAATTAATTTGTTTTGCTAGATTTTTTTTTAAGATGGAGGATGGTGGGGCTGCTTTAAAAGACTGCAGATTAAACTCAAATATTCACTACTTTTTATTCTTCATAGTCAGTGATAAATTCTTACATTTCTTAATAGATGTCAATCAACGTTTGCATTGCTGAGAGGTTTTACCAGAATACGGAAGGTAGCATTAACTTGGTCAAAGAGCCTGCCATGGATTCATATGTGTTTCTATTCAAAAGTTCTCGCTGTAAATATCAGTTATTCTGTACAATACTGCAGAAAATAATCAGTGGTACCGAACAACTCACTACAGTAAAGATCACATTCAAAACCTGTGTCCCCTGATTAACAAACTGGAAAATTCTTATTGATTTAAGTAACCGATAGAAGTAAACTCTAAATCAACCACAGATGAATAATCATAACCTAAATCATAGCAAATGACTATCTCACTATTGCACAAGCATGTCTCAAAATTAGTCCACATCTTTATCAAAACATTTTTATCAACTCTGACAAAAGCTCATCTACACAAAAAAAAAATTCACTCTTTTTTAAACAAAGATATATACATGGCATAAAACAAAGGCAAGGCAAGTTATACGAATTCTGTACAATATGCATTTACTAATCTGCATATATCACAGATATATGCACACAATATATTTTATTGCTGTGAGAATACTGGTTACAGGGATTGGTAAGAAAGTTCTTTTTTCCTATATTAAAACAAAGGCTACTGGAGGAAGGCAACATTTCAGCCCGAAGGCATTATCTTTAATGGGAACCATGCTTTGCCTTTCAAGTCTGCACAAGACATAAAGCTTTCCTGTTTGTTCTCACACCTGAGCTCTCTAAGCAGGCCAAGGTGACAACTGGTCACCTTTCCCAAGCACCTGCCCGTTAGTCTCCGTACCCTGCTCTGGAGACCCTGGCTTTCCCGGGGCCTATGGGAGCTAAGAGTCTCGTGTAAGAACCTCAGCTCTCCTGAGACGGAAAAAGAACAGCATTTCTGCCACAGCTCACTGGATAGAAATTCTAACCTCCGTTACGTTTAACCATGATGGGGGGTGGAGGGGAACCGAAAATCTCATTTTGCTATTGCACAGCACACAGTATGTAGGAAAAGAGCCAAATAGTCCATTCCTGGACTACGTCCCTGCTCTTTTTTGATTTATTCAAGGATGTCACTGAAAGAAGTCTTGAGGCTACCGACTCCATATGAAGCCTGCCCTGGGATGCAGAAAAGTAGCTAGTCTCTACAGCAGAACTGCACTTTCCCAAGAGATAAGGCAGGTTAATTGGGGCTAATTCAAGTGGCTTAAAACAAAACAAAAATCCATACATCCCAGAGAAGGAGAAACTTAAAGATATACACCTACTGTAAGTGCCAAGCAAGGGAATGTCAAGAGAGAAAAAAAGCCATACTGCACAGTTAAACTGTACAGAGATTGTACAGAGACTGACTGGAAGGAATACAGTGAAAAAACTTCTATTAGCTTATTTTTTAAGAGATAGAATACGCTTTGAAGTGTAGCAGATTTTTTTTCTTAATTTAAAAATCAGGTCTTTATAAATATTGTCCCTTCATTTGAAGACTTTTGGAAAATGGAGGTTATTCTAATGTTCTTATTTTACAAGCTAACTGTTCCCAAAAGATTTCATATCCCTCTTCAAGGTTGTTTTAGTACCAGAAAATGTTTTCAGACCTGTTTAACGCATGGATTATTTGTAGCTGAGTTTTTTTTTTTCCTAGGGGGTGGTTAGAAATCTGTTCCTTTTATGAAATCATATCAGAAAAATATTACAAGATAGGAAGAACCAAGATAACATGCATCTATCTGCTGAATATGATAACTGTACATTGTATTTTTTTTTCTGGAGGGCTCTTGCTTCATTCAGCTCACAGGATGGAGAAAAAATTGCTTAAGAAGCTGCTTAGGTACTCTTCCGTGCAATTTGGAAAGCTCAGTCCAAGAAACTAACCCAAAAGGCATTCCTCCACACCCTCTCATTCCAGGTTTTTTATCAGACATATAGATTAATTTCCCTTCTTGGTTTTGTGCCTTCTAGTCCATTCATGTCTCAGCCTTGTCTTTTCCCTTACATTCCCAGCTCTTCAGTTACACTTTTTCATCCCTTGACGGCTCCTCCCAGTTCTGGGATTGGGTGGGCATACAAAAAGCATTCACAATTGACCACATGAGTTCCAGGAGGCTTACAAAAATGACCCTCTAATTTACCCATTTTCTCAAAAAAACAAATGGCATGCCCTTGCATCAAGGAAACTCACTCACCAGATTTTAAGCCCACATTTCTGGCATCACTAGAGTTGCCTGTAAAGTTACAATAACTTATAAGAGGGGTGAGTCACACTTCTCCAGTTTTCAGCTCTGAAAATTCTTAGTGCAGAAGGACAGCCAAGGTAGATTTCTCTCGACTGAAGTTTACCAAGGCTTTGAGTAGCTAAAAATAGGAAAATCTAAGGTTGCCCAACACCTTTTTTTGTTAATTAAAATTTGTGCTTTGTGAGCAATGCCTAACTACACATCAGTCTTTATTTTTGTTCCATGGAGCGGCAGGAAACTGGAATTGTTTCAAAATTTGCAGGTGCTGAAGTTTGCAGAGATGTTTATGCACCGAACAAAACTGTTTTTCAAGCAATTATTTCTTAATTGGCAAATGCTTTTTCTCAGTGATGGAATCTCAAATGACTTAATAAAAACTGCTGAAATTATAGAAGTAGCATCTATTTTGCCTCCTAATCCATACCCCCCCACATCTAAAAGCTCCGCAGCCCCACAGTTTACATACAAAAGTTGCTTTTCCAGATGCTATTTTAATAATACAGTGCAACCTTGGCACGTTACAGCCTCCGCGTAGCAGCTCTAAAGACAGTGGATCAGGCATTTCCTTCTGAAAAGGTTACGGATCTGAAGGATTCTGTGACTGTTCCTACAAAAACAGTGGTTTATATGGAACTGGAGAAAAGAAATTCACCCTCCATTTCTGTACATTTCCCCCCCTCCCCCCAACACACATATCTTGCTCATTTTTAAAACTCTTAGTTTTAGAAGAGCTTCCCTTCTTATGAATAGGAAAGCCTAACAACAGAACATTTTTAGTTGGGAACTCAGAAACCAACAAGAAGAGCAAAAGGTTCTTGCCTTTCTGGTCTGTATTTTGTATGGCTAAAATAATATTCAAGGACAGCAGGATAATAAAAGGCGCTGAGTAACATCAAAAATATACTCGTTTAAAATAGATGGGATTTGTAACAGCTTTACTAGCAAACTATTATATGATATATCACCTCATCAACTATTATATATCACCCGATATATGAATTACACTTATAAACTGCTAATAAAAATCTTACCTTTTTCTCCAACATTTGTCATTGTTACTGAAAAATGAGAAAGAGAGAAAGAGTAAAAATAATGTTTAAATAGCAAATGAAATACTCGAGTATTTCAAGCTTCTGTTTTTCAATCTAAGAGGGAAGAGTAAACATCAAATAGGATGAGCTTAAGATACACTGTAAAGCTTTTATGGTGCAGCTGTATAAATTCATGATGAAAATAGGTAAATAATTAAAAACAATGCCAATTGCCTATAAAGTTTTCTGGCTCCTATTCCCAGGTTCAGTTCTCTGGCAACTCCTTCTATGTGAAATAGCCCAAGTGTAACCCAAGTAAAGCCATCTCTGAAAAACAGATATTTTCTTTACTGTAACTGTAATTCTTCAAGTTTTACTGTTTATGTATGTTCCATTATTGAGGTGGATGTGTTAGACTCCAGAACTGTTTTTGCCAGCAATACTCAGTGTTACTTTAGATCCATCCCATAAGCATAAAAAAATCAGAGTAGATAAAAGTGGCATTTAAGAAATTACCCATGGATTACAGGATTTTGGAATAGTAGGAGAGTAGGAAAAGTCAGAAGATGTCAGCAATGGAATATATAGGTATCATATATCTTCACTGCATTTATAGAACAGAACAAATCCTTTTCTTACATCTATATTCCACTCTGTCACATTAAAAAAAAAAACCACCAAACATCTCCGAGAGAGAACAAAAACCCCTAAGTAATTAAAAAAAACCCCTTATCGTGCTCTTCCCTTTCCATACAAACTACTCAACCACACATTTATCCATCCCAAATCAGTGGGATGGATAACACAGGGTAATATGTTGGCACCTACAGCTTCCAGGGAGAGGATACTAGCCAAACAGACCTCTCAGCTGCTCTTGCTTTCACAGCAAAAATGGCTGCACAACCTGCAGGCACGAGGCAACTCCTATCAAAATGCCACGCAGCCGTGCATTTCCCCTCCTAGCCTGGTTTATTAAACTTAACAAACGTAGGCTTGTTGACAGAGTAAGAGTCACTATTTAAGTATATCTTGCACATTGCAGAAATTTATCAAGAAACCAGTTCTGCTCAACACCTTTTCCAATAACCTGGAAGAAGTGAGGGTGTGAACACTTATTGAGTTTGCAGAGCACACCCAACTGAGGGGACCAGTCGATACACTCGTGGGCAGGGCTGCCATCCAGAGAGATCTAGGCAGGCTGCAGCCAAGAGGACCTTTATGAAATCCAACCAGGAGAAAGGCAAAGTCCTGCCCCTGGACAGGAACCAACCACTGCAGCCATAGGGGCTGGGGACTGCTGGGCTGGGGAGCAGCTCTGTGGAAAGGCCCTGGGGTCCTGGTGTCCATGAGGACAGTCCAACGGTAGGCCAGGTTGCCCAGAGAGGTTGTGCGGTCTCCATCCTCAGACGTTTTCAAGACTTGACTAGAAAAAACTCTGAGCAACCTAGTCTGATCTCACAGCTGGCCCACATGAAGGGTAGGTTGGACTAGACGAGCTGAGGTTCCCCTCCAACGCGAATTCTTCCACAATTCTACAACTACAAAACAGGTCTATTAAAATGGGTAGTTGACTATAGCTCAACCAAAATGAGCAGCTGTCTTACCCGAAGGAAAATAGTGCATTATCATAGTTATGAAGTTCTTAACAAAAGTCAGAAAGGCACCACAGGAGTTGCATAAGCCACTACAAAGAAAAACTTCGCTCTCCCTTCAAATTTCTCATTTAGCTAATTAACAGTACAGCTTGATAAGCTACATATCCATGTAGGCAACTGCTACAAAGAGGTTGAGGGAAAAAGTACACAAATACAGTAAAGCTGTAAGTAAAGTCATCCACTGGAAATAACCAACAAATCTTTAGAGCTGATGTGCAATTCAAAAATGCTGGAGCTGACAGACTAGGACAAAACGGACACTTTACAAAACTGATTTTCTCTCTCCACTTGGTAGAGCCAGCAAGACATGCAGAATCCTTACCACTGCTTTCTGACAGAGAACTTATGCTTATCTTCTTGCTATAACTACTGTCTGCTAATCGAAAAGCCTTAGCCAGACATACAATGCAGAATCACTAACTTCAAATCAAGATCTCCTTGTTATTTTATGTCTAGTTAGCACCAGCTTGCACTCTTGTTAAAACTTTCATAATATTTCCCAGAACTGAGGAGAAGAAGAAAAGGAATGGGAGTACATCTGTCTCTTAAGCCACAGTACAGAGCAAGTTTGCAGCTTGGCTCCTAGGTTCAGGATGGACGTGGAACAGAGCTTGAAGTTTTTCACCAACCTTTCACAGTGTTTTGTGGCAGTCTCTCTTCCTCACAAGGGAATGGCACAGAACATTGCTGTGTGAGAGCTGGTGGTCATCATTCTTTTCATCTTGGATAAACTGTAGTAATCAACGTGCTTAAGTTTAGATTTATCTTCTGATAACTGAATCTACATCAGACAAACATTCTTTTATCCCTCGCATCCTCTTCCATAAAATAAAACAGCTAGTAGGGATCAATTACAAGTATTAATTAGGACAGAAGAGAATTTCAATGCTGATGGCCTACATGCCTAAGACAAAAACTATTCCACTAGTCTGTAGGTAAGGGACCAAATAGTATCACTCCTTATGCTCATGTCTTTTTAAAGCACCTTTGAAAAAGGCTCCCTGAAAGAAGCATAATATGTGGGAAAGTAACTGACAGGCAGCTGCAGTAGCACAGAACCAGAGAGGAGATGAGGTTTCTTCCTTCCCTCTCTCATGAATGCAGCCTATCTGTAGACCAGAAAAAAAAAAACAAACAAAAAACCCCACCCTTAAAAATCAAAGCATCAATCCCAATTTCCTTCAAACCTTCTCTATTTGTAAAACGACCATGATACAAGGACTTCTTAGGTAACTACAAGATGCTCATACCTAAAAGATCGTACTGTTTAAGTGCATGGAAAATCGTTTTGTAACGACAACAAAAAGCTCTGACTCACTAATTTTGGATTTAGCAAGTTTGCTAATTTTTCACCTTCTGAACAGCACATTTGATAAATTTATTAAAAATGAATTCTATACTTTTCAGTAGATACAGCATTCTGACTTTGTTATATTAGTCAACAGTATTTTATTATATAGTCTTCTGTGGACAATTTGCACATGCCTTTCCAGTGGTTTTCTCCTCTCTCTTCCTCGGGATTACATTTACTGCTGGCAAAACACACAGAAAAGTAGGTCAGATTTTATGTTCTGTCATTAACAAATATCAGCTTCAAAGCTACAAATTTGCCCACTGGTAGTCAAACAGCATACAAATAACGAGTGTAAAAGTACTTAAATACAATGACTAAAAATAACCACCTAGGACAGACCTATCCCAACTATTAAAAGAGTTTTACGGTTTTGGAAGAATAAATTATTTGAAATAGGATGGCACGATAGCTTCCATATTTTCAGAGACAGAGATAGCTGTAAAACCATGGACCAATCTTCAAGTATTCCTTAAAAAGTTACAGCTCTGTTCATCTCCTCAAGTACTGCAGGGGCCAATTTCACTAAGAATTAGCCTTCCAAGACCAATCACTTCTATACTGCCAGGATGCCACTTACAGCTCAGTACCAGCAGACTGTCACATCATTAGAGTCTCTGTTTCACGCAGCTTACAAAAAGTTGTTCATCAGAATTAGGGATCAGGCTGTGACATATGCAGGACTTCGGCCAATGTAGCTGCCAGTTTCCTGAGTCAGAAACATTGCTTCCTGCTCACCACCTTTCCGGCTCACATTCAGCAAGAAAGATGTACAGCATATTCAGTAGTCTACACAGCTAAATAGCCTGTGCTTACAAGAAAAGCAGTGACTGAGGACAGAAAGTTACATTACAAAATATGAGGAAAATAAAAACAATGACCAGAGGAGGAAAAATTCAGGATGGTAAAGAGAAGCCAGGGGAATTCATCCTCAAGCTGCTGGTAACCTTCCTTAACGAACAAAGTCTTTCAGCATTAGGAATGTTGCCTTGATAGGCCAAGAGGACAGAAGATATCCAGAGAATATCTGGACTTGGAGCACACAGCAGGGTATGCAGGAGGGTAAAGGACTAACAAAAAGGCCTCTACACTACCTGAAGCAGGTCTAGTCACACAGCAGCAACATAACATAATAGGCAAAGTCTGCCAACCAACCTGTTTATAAAAGGTTAACCTATGCATGTTCTTTTGACTCAGCTAAGTTGCTCTGCATTGGCTCAGACCTTAATCTGAATTAGTACTGGAACTAGATTTACCATTTCTTGAACTATGATTCATTTTCTCTAGAAACCTTTATTCCCAGTTTACCCACTGAAAAATTAAGCAGGCATCCATCTCCATGTAGCTAGAGAGAGCGCAAAACACATTGCTAGCACAAAACCCAAAAGAACTTGGAGGATGAGATTCCTGATAAAATCTTGCATCAGCTAACATTAAAATTTACCTGACTTCTAAACCCCAAAATCAAAGCTCTTGAATGGTGAATGTAATGATTGGACCAAAAAAAAAAAAAAAAAAAGAAGAGACAGAGAGAGACAGAGAGAGACAGAGAGAGACAGAGAGACCACTAATTTTTTTAAAGCATTGAGGGGGATAAGGATATCGACAACTTAATGTACATTTTTTAAATAATTAAAAACTGGGACATAGGAAAATAAGCTTTATTTATTTATTTTTATTTCTGAGCCTCCGCAGCCACTTCTATAAATAGTTGTTTCTCTCAAACTTTTATACAATTGAACATCCTTATCTGACCCACAAAATTAAGTACATATTTTATCTTCATAGTGTATCTGAAGCGGTAAAACACTGATCTATATATGCTGTTTAACTCATCTCTCCGTACGTATCTGTTGTGGCAAGTGTTCTACTCTTATCTGTAATAATCCTTGGGTGGGGGGGGGAATCAATGCTAGTATTAAATTGGGTAATTTAATACCCAATTAAATTGCCCACTGCCCTTTGCTGGATAGGGCAGTGTTTCGCATTAATTCAGAAAGACAAGGTGAATACCAAGCCATCTATGTATCATTTAAGAACAAAAGTAACAGAACTATTTCTGGCAGATTTAAGGCCAGCATAAGCAGTCATCAATAACCCATATATTTTTAAGGCCGTTCGAAAGAATTCACGATCGCGTCAGTAAGTTCAGTTTAATCCCTAGCACTGTGCACATCAAACTACATCAACATTCAGCTATCCAACAGAGATGTTATTTGATAACCTTTCAGGCTACAGTTACAAAAAAAAGTTGGTTTTGAATTGAGTATGGGCAAGAACTGATCTGATCGTCCTCACTTACAAACTTCCTATTTACCTTGCAAGTTACAGGAGCTACTTTAAGAATGAAGAATACTCCTAGAGAAGTTGTATGATCAGATCGTTTTTGGAAATGGAAAAAGTGCAGGCTGGCAAATATCCCTTTGTAAGCTATTAAGCATCCAGCAGTGTTAAATCTTTAACTGAAAACACACTCTTATCTAACAGTTATACCTTCATCATAAACCTTACTCTTTCAACTTGAAGGCATGGTTTAAGCTTCAAGGCATGAAGCCTGCAGGTGGTATTAGGTACAACACAGCCAGATAAGCACTCATACTTAAAGCAGAGGTTAATTCAATTTCAGAAATGCAGAAGTGAAGCTTTTCCAGAAGAGGGGGAACATCACCTTCTTGAAGGAGGAACGAACCAAGGAAGTTATCTCTTTAAAATTCTGAGAAAGTAATCACATAAAATATGGGAAATGCAGAGGAATTCTGCTGGCTAAAATTCAAAAGCTGATTTTATTTCAGCTGTGAGTTTTGAAACTTTCCTAAAAACAGCCATAGATGTCAGAAGAGGAAAACCGTGGTGTTTGCAAGACATGGTATAAAATATACAAAAGCCTTTGCCATTTTAGCAGCCAATGCACAGACAAAGGTGTCTGACAGGTATTTGACAACAGCCAACTGCAATGTCGTAACATACTTTTATTTCTGTAGTGAGATGTAAGCTGCAGACACTTACAAGACATGATCATTTGGAGAACATACTGAACAAAAAGCTCAAATCCAGGTGACAGGAACTTGGGTGTCCACTTTCTTTTTGTAAGGCATGGGGTCTGTTAGCTTCTATTTCAGTATTTCCTGCTGTTTCTGACCCCGATCACATTGCACCCTGCCTACAGGCCACACATTAATTCTGTCTCTAAACTGAGATGAATTAAGCAGCTCGTCCTCCCACTATAACTTCCATTCCACTAATGTTAAAAAGAGTCAAAATGCCCTGTTCAGTCCTGGCCAATCTGATCCTCCAGTAAAAGTCTTCCATGACCACTAACATCTACAGTGGCTGTGTGTCATTTCATGTTTTTCTGCTCTATACTGTATCTAGGGGTAGATAGATCACTATTACTTATTCAGTTAAAAGAACAAAGCAAGTTTCAGCTTACGAGCTTTCCAGACTGGACTGTGAACGTCTGGTTGCCCCTCTAAAGTCACTCACTGTTATCCAAATCAGCCAGATCACTCACTAGGTGCGAGCATTTCCTCCCTGTCCCTTCACTGAAGTAGTCAATAAACGCTTGCTTCTGTGTTCCAGGGCAAATCTATTGTCCTTCTTTAAGAAAGGACAAACTTTATTTTAGGACATGATTCTCTGAGCAAAAGCATTAAAACTTGAAATTAACGACATGTAAAAATGGATCAAAACTGGACACATACAGTCAATTAGGCAACTACTTGAGGTCCCTTCCAGTTCTACAAACCCAAATTACAGCAACAACTGAGAATGAAGGCATAAGGAAAATCATTTTCTTTACATATGTCGTTCACTGAATCCAGTATGTATTTTCTGAGCATTAGACGTGTTTTCTCACGTACAGGAGCAATGGATGAAGGGGATGAGGGAAGAACTCCACCTGCAATTAATGTTCTTGTTCCAGATCCCTTAGATGGAAATTTCATTAGCTTCAGTTATCAAAGTTCAGTGCACTCACTGGATATAACCTATATTTTCCTCTCTTTTTAAGAAGGTATCATTCTTTATGGAATTTTGGAATGCTTGCAAACACAAGACAAAAGCAATGAAAGAGGAAATATGTTTAAAAAAATGCTCTAGCTTTATATTTGTGCATCTACAAATCTAGCTATTGCATTTACAGCCAGCAGGAGTTAGAGGAGTATGAGATTTCACTAAATACCTGCATCTAGCATGAAGATTTTTACTTGAATGCCATTTGCATTCTCTTTACCTCCAGATGTTGGAATTCAGGATCATGTGGAAGCCTCTAAAATTTTATACGGAAGAATAAATCTTATTTTCAAATAGTATCAATCCCTTAGAGCTACAAAACAATTTAACAAGAATTATAGTGTCTCATGCAAAGCTTCATCTGATTTAACTAAAGGCTACAAAATTAATCACAGGTAAAACCAGGCTATGCTTGAGAAATCCTGGATTAAAATCTACCCACTATGACACACTACCTCTTCCAGTGCACAGACAAGATTGTTTTTAACTACTGGAAAACTATAAATATTTAATAATTTCTAAAAGCAAGTAGTAGCTACAAGATGCACTGATTTCTCATTTCCTTGCTCACTATGCATACTACTAACCATACTTCCACTAACCCAAATAAATGCTTTTGTCCCA